GATCTGAGGGGGTGGCAGCTGGTGGAGTGGTGGAGGCACCGGACTCCCACATGGCCGCCTGAGGTTCGAGTCTCGGAGCTGGCAGCTCTCTCTCTCTGCTCAAATTTAAAAAATAATAACAAATAAATGTAAAAAGAAATGAGATCGGATGCGGAGCATCAGGGGGTGGGAGCTGGCGGTAGCACAAGGTGCTCTCGTGCACACGAGCCACCCTCTGGCACGGTTCCGTCTAAATTCTACGGCTGTATCCCATTTTAGAGCAAAGCATTTCTCTCCTCTTTCTCTCCCCCCGGAGCTAGCGTCTCATTCACACTGACGAACACGCAGGCCCGCGGTGACTTGCAGAATTTCCGAAGGACAGGAGCGCCCGGCTGCCGGGGTGACTAATGTGGTCTAGAGCACAACCCCCCACGGGCCAGCCCACACCGCAGGCCCTGCCGGCTCCGTGCCCTTGGCCGGGGGCGAACCCCAGCGGCGGGCGCTTTGAAGTCAGAAATGATGTCTCCCTGTGAAGCGAGCTAAATTAATTCCCCACGGGCTGTCAGGAGGGCTGGTGTGAGATTGGGCAGGATTTCAAATGCAGGAAGGAGCAGAGGTGGTTTGCAGGGGGAGGCCGTGGAGCTGACTCCGCTGTCATGGGCAGGCGGGGAGAGAAGTGAGCGAGGGGGAATCAGTGAGGACGTGCCCTACCCGCTGCTCACACGGAGCACAGGCTGCACTGAGCTTTCTGCTTTCCGGGTCGCAATCTGGGTGCTATTCAGGGAACCGACAGCCACAAACATGCCTAAGAAACTCCCAGACAGGGAACAGGACTCTGCTTGGTCCAGCTTGCCCGGAGTCCTCGGGTCGCAAGGGGGTCTCTTGTAACAGAGGAGCACACGGCGTAAGTGGCTTAAAACAGCCCAGAGGTCGGCCAGCAGGGACATGGTGGTGAAGGCACCTGGACCCCACATGTATGGCTGCATGGTTCAAATCCCAGCCCAGGGCTTGAAAATGACAGCAGGCATGTATCTGTGCGTGCTCCAAATCCCCAGAGGAGGGGTCAGCAGGTGGCGTGGTGGCTAAGGCTCTGAACTCCCACAGGGCTGACAACAGTTCGAGTCCCAGATCTGGCAGCTTGCCTTCTCACTTTCCCTCTCTCTCTGCTGAGCGCACATGCCCTATAGTCAATTAAATAATAAATAAATAAATTAAATTAAATAAGCAATTCTTAAAACAAACAAACAAGCAAACATAAAAAACATCAATCTCAAGAGGAGAAGGTTTTGCAGTGTGGCCAAGGGATGATTTCTCACTTTCCCTCTCTCTCTGTCTCTGTCTCTCTCCAGCAACTGTGCGCACCTATGGCAAAAACCTCC